ATTGCATCAGTAGAAGGGATACAAATACAACCAGCATAATATACCGAAGGACCCGATAGAAAGTTCTTTACACTATTATTCAACTTTGTCTTTTATACAACAAGCCGCTATTTATGTTGATTTTGATACGCTCATTCCAAATTTGGAGTTCTTGGGATAGGATGTAAGTTTCGACAAATTTGTATTTACTAAACGGACCTTTTATTCCCTTTGGGCTACAAAGTTAGCCTAGCCTGGGAAAAAATATCAGGTTCCGTCACATTTTCTGATTGTGAGGACGGGAGGAGGGGTTGACTGATGATTTAACCCCTGTACAGGAACCTGCAGTTGGACTCGCCGGATTCCCTCGAATAGGCCAACCTGCTGGTAGAATGGAAGGGGTGTATGGGAGTGGTTCAGACTGTGTAGGCGACAATGTCAGTTTGGCTTGCTTCAGGTCAACATTAAGCCCGCTACACAACTGCAGTTAGTATTATTCAAGTTGAACGGTCGAGTAAAGCCGTCAGTTCAACCGGAACACGGTGTGTATCCACACCACGCAAGACATTCTCTTGCTCTCATTGCGGAACATAGATTATCAAATACAATTAATAAGGAAAATGTAATTTTGTAAATTAGCAATAAATTAAGCAGGGTACCGAAGTGTACGCGCAGACACGCTCAGCTCTAAAATATTTTTTTCAATAATCTGAGTGAAATTGTGTTTTTAACTTGTTAATTTTTTTCGCGGCTGAAAAAATCAAAGGGACGCCGCCTTCCTGTTGCAAGGCCCAAAAAATGTTTGACATGTCTAATGTCGAACTGAAGGCAGCCAAACTGACATTGACGCCTGCACAGTCTCAACCACTCCCCGACACACCTTCCATTCTACCAGCAGGTCGGCCTGTTCAAGTGAATCTGTCGAGTCTAACTGCAGGTGTGTAGCGGCCTTTAGTGCAGTACAGGACTTGACCTCTCCGCCATTGTAAGTAGACGCAGGACCAGACAGTTTGATATTATGATTGGGAAGTATACCCGGTTTGTCTTCTGGGAAACTATTCTGTTCAGCCTTGGTTAGCAGCAGCAAGCAGAGTCGAGATCGCCCGCTTTCCTGTGGATCTAAAATTGTATGGATGTGGAGGTCAAACGTTTGCAATAAGGCTACACAAAAAGGTTGTGGCAGTCAGCAATGATAGGAACATGTGAATGGCGAAAGTTTGAGGTAAATTAGAAGGGAACAGACGCACAAGGAAGTACATTCATTAATAATTAGGACCAAGTCGTCAATTGAAAATGCTGCAGAACAATATCCCGACCACATTATTCCTCATCCGGACTTTGGATGGTCGATTCTCTTGTTCATACGGGGTATTTTTTTTATACGAGCGTCTTTACGTCCCCGTCACCAATTTGGACCCTTCAGGAGGCGGGCTTCCGATTCTGCCTGTCAGGGCCAATCTGGGCTGAGAGGGCGGATGCAATATCCTTGCAGCAGAAAGACCAAGATGCTCGATAAAAATTCTCACAACTCGGGAATCGAACTCTCGTGCGACAGGGAAGCACCTAACCACTTCACCACAGACGCTGGTTCAAGCGAGTTAAAAGATCAGGGATCAAATTGCATGTCCTTTTTTTCTAAACAAGACCCATTAAGAAAAGCAAGTTAGGGTCGTATAACAATCAAACCTGCCAACTTTTAACTTATTTAATTTAATTTTTTTTTAAAGAAGAGAGAGGTCAATAAATTTGGGCCTACCTTCCTTAAGAAGGCGACGGGCTCACTCTTTACTCGAACACGATTTGCCAGTAAAGTTTGTTTTCATCGGAGAGCAGTGACGTAGCGGTAGGCCATATGCGTATGCAAAATGCGTTTGACGGAATTTGTAGTAATGGTCTCCAGTGGCTTAGAGGTTAAGGTGTTGGCCTCTCATTCAAAGGTCCCGGGTTCGAATCCGGGTAGCGACCGAAAAATTATCTAAAAATGTCTCCGTTCACCTCCTTTCCTGTTCTCTAGCAATGTTCTGTCGTCTGCTTTCGTCTCCTCTTTCTGCCCCCACCCCCTCACCTTCGTCGCCCCCTCCTCTGGGCTCCCGACTCTTTCTGCAGCCTTTCTACTGCTACTCCTCGGCTGTTTCTTACTGCTGTCTTTCAGCCACACCCCTGGTCTTCTGGTAGGAAATATATACACCTAGCCCTCTCGTACAAAGGCAAAAAAATCTCAGACGGCCCGTGTGCAAGTTAGGCACATTAAAGATTCCCTTGGTGGTCTAAAATCGACAAGAGTAGGCTCCAGCCGCCACCCGGGCAAAATAACCAAAATTCCTACCAACTGAAAGTTTAATGTGTCCCGTGCGCTCATATTAGTCATATGGCCTTATGCAGTTGCGAGCGCCATAAAACACCTGCCCCCCCCCCCCCCCCCCCCCCCCCACAGAAAACAAAAATTTGTAGTATTTTACATAAATTTTAAAGATAGTTTTAATAATGTCGTTGTTGAAAAACGTGATAAGAGAAATGGATATAAACTGCTGTGAAATGGGCGACACCGTTTAAGTCGTGCAACGAATGTGTCACCGCACAATAAACCATGGGATGTACGGGTAATAATGTTTATATAGCATCATATTTTTCAGAAATTTACCAAAAATACAACTATTGGTAATGGAATACGCCAGTGCCTACTTTTCATTCAATCATAAAGTATCCACCGTAACAAGTTTCGCCACCCCACAGAGACACCGTTACGATTTGCAAGACCACGATCACACCCAAGTCACAACAGGATTTTTGTTAATACCAAAGTGCATCTTAGCGCCCCCCCCCCTCCCCCCACCCCCACCCCCAACATTTGCACACTTTGTGCAACACAAATATGTGTAAACAACTGAAGCCTACTGGAAGGTCAAGAAGGTCCAATTTGCCTTCATTGTTGGCTGTTTACTTTAATAGCTTTGATTGATTGGGTAGATGTTTTACGGCACTATCGACACAATTTTGGTCATTTAAGCGCCATCAGGTTTTACCGCTACATAATCAGACGCGTTTTTAATAAGAGTCTTTCGGAGCTCGCAACCGCAAACGATCACACTATTTCTATTATGCTAAAAAGACGAACAAACATTTATAAAAAAATTTTGTAAATATGGAAAAGGCTTAGTTACATTTGTATATACAATACAAATCTCAGTGTATGTATATATACACCGACAACGACAACTATATATTTTCACATTTTATTAAACAGTCCAATTTCTTTTATAAAACTTAAAATTCTTCTAGGTTCTATGATGTTAAAAAGGGTCTTAATATTTTTACATTTAAAATATTTATCACGGACATAATTAAAGTCGACACATTCCATTAGGATGTGCCGAACTGTGAAATTTGTGTTGCACGCCACGCAAAAAGGAGCTTCCTCTCCTTCGAGTAAATGTTTGTGCGTGACGTGCGTGTGTCCTATTTTAAGTCGGGTAAAAATTACTTTTTCTCTTCTTGGTAGAGAAAATGGTTTCCTGGGTGTAAGTTTGGGTTGAATGTAATGGAGTTTGTTGTGTATTTGTTGATTCCAACTTTGGGACCAGGAGGATGTGATGTGTTCTTTTACTTTCGGTTTCATGTCAGAGAAAGGGATTTTACTATTTTTGTTTTCAGGTAGTTTTAGAGATTCTTTGGCAAATTGGTCAACGGCTTCGTTGCCATCAATGCCTACATGGCTTGGAAGCCAAGCTATTGTAATAGTTTTTCCAGACTGATGTAGAAAATGCAGTTCAATGATAAGTTTCAAAATTCTGTTGTCGGAGGTGTCAGAGCGCTCTAAAGATTTCAGACAAGAGAGAGAGTCTGAAAGGATTAGGAAGGTAGACTTGGTTGATTGATCTATAATATTTAGGGCCATTTCAAGAGCTGTAGCCTCAGCAGTGTAGACTGAAGCTTCTGGATGGAGTTTCCTTAGGCTTAAGCTGTGTGGCGATGCAAGGGCAGCAGCTCCTACTGAGGAGTCATTTTTGGATCCGTCTGTAAAGAGTTTCTCTGCTTCAGGGTATCTATTTATCAGCTGTTTATATGAGTTTAAGTATGTAGTTTTGTCTGTGGACTTTGAGTTGTGTTTTTCAAGACTAGTATCTATGTTTGGTTTGGTTAAATGCCATGGAGGTTTAATAGCTTTGTTCTGCTTTGTCCTTTGTTTCAGGATTATGTCGATGGTTGCACGCACTGCTGTAGCCGAGCATGTTTTGTTTTGTTGTAGTAGGTTTTGCGGCGCCCGTAACTGTGTAAGGTCATTTGAGCGCCAAGGGGATGTCAACAGAGGAGTCCTTACAGTACAGGGAATCAGACTTACTCTGCTCACCTCTCTAATTTCAACAGCACTAAATCTGCTTCGACTATCAAGGCACCCCAGAAATAGCGGGTCACAAGAATGTGACAAACATACTAAAGAAGTAGAGGAAAATGACGATAGTAAGGTTAGGAAAGAAAAAGCAGCAGTTCTGTTGTAGTTCAGAGCACAGTTACGAGCATGGCATTGTTGGTTCAGCCCATTTACAATTCTATTGTGCATTAGAACGAGAAATGCCCCCCCCCCTTTTTTTTGGGGAATGGCCTAGAGACACTTCAGTCAGTGTCACCGCCCCGGGGGGGGGGGGGGGTAGCCGAGCATATCTGTTCGAATGCCCGTTATAACAGAGCCTTCAGACGCAAGTACACTCATCCAGACAAAAGGCAAATGCATAATGTAAAGTCAAAACTTGTTTGAGACAGAATCACAAAAACATGGATTGAGAGCATTTCTGAAGGCGATGAGCAACAAAAGAGGATTTTTTTTTTCATCTAAGACGTATCTATCCGATTTGACAACACAAATGCAGAAAGACGGTGCAGAAAGACGGTGCAGAAAGACGGTGCAGAAAGACGGTGCAGAAAGACGATGCAGGAAGACGGTGCAGGAAGACGGTGCAGGAAGACGGTTTAGAGAATTCAGAAGGCCGATTTAACACAAGCCAATAGAAAAACAAAGACCCAAGTTCGATATGTATATCATTTATTTGGTAACAAATATCGATACAAACATGGCATTTTGGTGGATTTTAGTACAAAGTTTTGGTGACGGTAGCAAGTTCTGCTTGGTAGATCGCACGAGACGTCATGAAAACTGGCCAAGCTTTCGTTAATCACCAGAAACTTTCGTCTTCAGGCCATCTCGTAATCAGTCTCTGAAATGCCGGTATTTGACCAGCATTTCGTTCATCATAGCTGTGAAAGGAAATATGTAATTTTTATAGGGGGGGTGGGTGCTCTGGTGAAGTTAAGTCATTCCCTACCAAACGTCTATCGTCTTTTTATCCATTTATTGATGCGCCGCAAATCTTGTTCTGTGTTTAAAGGATAGACAGACAAATATGGTAAAAGTTTTACTTGCATGCGTATTTACAATATCAATTTCAGTTTACAGTACAATATCTTTTAAAAAGATAAAACAATCCAATTTCACGTACGGGCTTTCGGTCCAATGATCGAGAAGAAAGATCGATGGACAGAAGACCTAGAGAGAACGGCCAGAAGAAACCACCCCTACGTCAGAGAGCTGGCGACGTACGAGTGGCACCCCATCAGCGGGAGGTTACACCCCTGTTTATGGGACAGCCAACTATTTTAAATTCTACTCCCCGGTCAGCTTGGGGAAGGAAGAAAAATATAGAAAGACTACAGAAGACATTTTTTTCATAAAACGTATAATTTTTCTCTGGTTAACACTGTCAAAAAGAGTTGACATCTTTACATTTAAAGTATTTTGTACGTATATCGTTGAAGTCGACACATTCCGTCAGGATGTGCCGAACTGTAAAATATGCGTTGCACGCCACGCAAAAAGGAGCTCCCTCTCCAGACACTTAAAACGTCTTTTCGTAAACGAAGTACAGTGAACGAAAAAGGTTTTTTTCCAACTTCATGTCTTTAATTAATCAAGTAAGTAAATGTAGAACATGTGCTTCTGGGTCAGATATTTTTCCTCGCCCACCTTTTCCACAGCCAAAATAGAACCCTTTGTTTTGTTTTGAGTAGGTGTTTTACAGCACGATCAACTCTTGTTAATATTAAGGTGAAAGAACGTCGCAGAGATGGATGCGTGAATGAACAGTGATCATTTCCTCTCAAGCTGTTCCGACCGCTTTTGTCACGCCAGGACACATTTACACAGCATTAAGCCGCGAGACACAAGGATGGTTTACACAGCATTAAGCCACGAGACACAAGGATGGTTTACACGGTATCAAGCCGTGAGACACTAGGATGGTTTTTACACAGTATGAAGCCGTGAGACACTAGGATGGTTTTTACATAGTATGAAGCCGTGAGACACTAGGATGGTTTTTACATAGTATGAAGCCGTGAGACACTAGGATGGTTTTGACACAGTATCAAGCCGTGAGACACTAGGATGGTTTTTACACAGTATCAAGCCGCGAGACACAAGGATGGTTTACACAGTATCAAGCCGTGAGACACAAGGATGGTTTTTACACAGCATGAAGCCGTGAGACACTTGGGTATAAAGCGCCATACAACAAACTGCACGAGACAGCTTGGCCTATTCCTGTCTGTCTAAAGGCAAGGAGCATATTTTTTCTGAATTTGCTTTTTTAATATTAAATTAAGACGACCTTATATTAGAGACAGCACGAACGCAGACCGATATGAAGTTTCTAGACATTCTTATACTATAGGAAAGAAATTTGGATCGATAACAACAACACATGAAAAAAATTAGCAATACATCTTGAGACAAAGATATTGAAAGTGGATTTGCTTCGTTTGTGATTTTCTTCAGGAAACCGTAAAAACTTACATTCTTTAGAACACTTGTCTGCGTCTGCATCCCAAAAGAAACCTTTAGCACACAGGCACAATTTCAGGCAGCCATGCTGTACACACTCCATGTTTGACCCGCACGACTTGACACATTGCTCGTTGTACCCAGGCACTGAAACAAATGGGTGAAATTCAGTGAAGGCGAGATAAAGTGGAGGGGGGGGTCGTTTCGTTTTTAATGTACCTACCTCTCTGTTTTCACAAAATTCAGAATTTGAATTTCAACCAAATATTTACCGAGCATATGCAAAAGATACCACACAAGAAATTGAAGTAAGATTAAATAATATGTAGGACTCAATACATCTGAGCAGCGGACCCAAAAGTGCAACAAAGCAAAAGAATTGTTAATGACATAATGCTAAAAGCTACAAGATATAGAATGGGATATCTTTGGGCGACGTCGAACATTGTTCTTCGATTGTTGGCAAAACTTATACTGCACCCACAGGCATTTTCTTTTTGACACTGATCCGCGGCTGCATCCCAAGAGAAACCGTCAGTGCACAGGCACAGTTTCTGCGAGCCATGCTGTACACACTCCAGGTTGGACACACACGACTTGTCACATAGTTCTTTGTACCCAGACACTGAAACAAATGGGTAGAATTCAGTGCAGAAGAGAAAACGTTTCCGTTTTATTTTTTTTCAATGTACCAAGACTATGCCTCCTTTGCTTTTTCTCAGTATTTAGAAATTTCCCGAATATATGCAATAAATACCACACATTAAGAAACCGCTGTAATATTTAATTTTCTTTTTAATCTGAGGCTCCGTTCATATGAACAGTTGACCGACGATACATTGTACAGAATTCATTGACCCACAACTAGTGTGTCTAGCCAAAAGAAAGAAAAATAAAAATAAATCCAACACTAGAAAAGGATAACATGAATACGGCTCTTTGACAGTGGGTAACACAAACTGCACCCACATGCATTTTCTTTTTGACACTGGTCCGCGTCTGCATCCCAGAAGAAACCTTTGGCACACAGGCAAAGCTTCTGGCAGCCATGCTGTACACACTCAAGGTTCGACACGCACGACCTGTCACATTGTTCGTTGTACCCGGGCACTGAAACAAATGGGTTGAATTCAGTGAAGGCAAGTGAAATGGCTTAATTCGTTCAAAAAATTGTACTTACATTTATCTTATCTTTTCAATATTTACAACTTTTCGGCAAAATAGTTCTTGCATTTGCAATTGAATCAACACATTTAAGTTTTCTAAGATGGCTTTGTACGTCTCATTGATTGAGGTGTTTTACGGCACTATCGACTCAATTTTGGTCAAGCAAGTGCTAACAAGTTCTATAGCCGGAAATCTACTACTGTGTTAAAAGGACGGACAGACAAATAAAATAATACATAGAAATCCTGATAAATAATATAGTAAAGACATTTACATGCGTTTTTAGAATATTAATTTCAGTGTATATTATACACCGACAACTAAAATGATTTGTATATCTTATGAAACAATCCAATTTCTTTAAGAAAACACTTTGTACGTCTAAAATTGTCGATGATTCGTAAAGCGCTGAACATAAATTTACCAAAATACCTTCTATTCATCCAAAAGTGCAACAAATATGAAAAACTTAAATTTAAAAGCTACACGATATCGAAATGGATATCTTTAGGAGACGTTGAATATGGTTCTTGGACCGTGGGCAACATTTTTAAAAATGCACCCACATGAAATTTCTTGTTCACACTGCTCCTCGTCTGCATCCCAAGAGAAACCGTCAGCACACAGGCACAGTTTCTGCGAGCCATGCTGTAAACACTGTAGGTTGGACTCGCACGACTTGTCACATGGTTCGTTGTACCCGGGCACTGAAACAAATGGGTAAAATTCAGTGAAGGTAATAGAAACGGCTTCATGATTGATTGAGTAGGTGTTTTACGGCACTATCGACTCAAGAAACAGCATCATTCGATCCAAAAATTGTACTTACATTTAACATTGTGTCTTTTAAATATGGGCAATTTGGAATTTCGATAAAATAGTTTGAGCATATGCAACTGATACAACAAATTGCAGTTTTAAGAAAATGAATTTGTATGCCTAGACAAATTGCCAATAATACGTAAAGTGCACAACATATTGACCCAAACTACATTCCATCCAAACGTGCAACAAATAAAAAATACATAAAATTAAAAGCTACACGGAATAGAAAGAGACATCTTGAATATGGTTCTTGGACCGTCGGCAACATTTTTTAAAATGCACTGACATGAATTTTGTTCACACTGCTCCTCGTCTGCATCCCAAGAGAAACCGTCAGCGCACAGGCACAGTTTCTGCGAGCCATGCTGTAAACACTCTAGGTTGGATTCACACGACTTGTCACATTCTTCGTTGTACCCGGGCACTGAAACAAAATGGAAATTCAGTAAAAGTAATAGAAACGGCTTCATACGTTCCCACAATTGTACTTACATTTGGTCGCTTTTAAGGGCAAGCGGGCTAACCCAAATTTCCGGTTTTCAAAAATCCTGACCTACACCAAAACTGGGCATTGCCCTACCTATAGGAGAAGTCTGGTTTCATTGGTGTGTATATTTGTTTGGTTAGAGAGAAAACTCATTGTCTTTTAAAGAAACTGAACAATGTGCAAAAATTTTTACCGTCGATTTTCTCAAAAATAAGAACTTTTCGGATAGCCCCCTTGTGCTTAAAAGCGACAATTTAGCATCGTATCTTTTAACTGAGCGATTGGGAATTATGATAAAATAGTTCGAGCATATGCAATTGATACAACAAATTACAGTTTTAAGAAAAGGAATTTGTATATCTAAACAAATTGCCGATGATAAGTAAAGTGCACAACATAAATTGACCCAAACTACCTTCCATCCAAACAACAAATATAAAATACAAAATTATTGATTGATTGAGTAGGTGTTATTACGGCACTATCGACTCCATTTTGGTCGTGCAAGTGCCTACAGGTTTTACTGCAACAAATCTATCATGTTATGTTTTAGTAAGAGTTTCACGGCACTCGCAACTGCATACGGTCATATCATCATATTAAAAGGACAGACAGACATTTATGAAAATCTTTGTAAATATGGAAAAGACTTATTTACATTCGTATTTACAATATTAATTTCAGTGTATGTGTATACACCTACAACGACATAAAATTAAAAGCTACACGAAATAGAAAGGGATATCTTTAGGGGACTTTGAATATGGTTCTTGGACCGTCGACAACACTTATTTTTTAAAATGCACTGACATGAATTTTGTTCACACTGCTCCTCGTCTGCATCCCAAGAGAAACCGTCAGCGCACAGGCACAGTTTCTGCGAGCCATGCTGTAAACACTCCAGGTTGGATTCACACGACTTGTCACATTCTTCGTTGTACCCAGGCACTGAAACAAATGGGTAAAATTCAGTGAAGGTAAGAAACTTTCATTCGTTGCAAAATTTGGACCAGAATTTAGCATATCTTTTCAATACAATTTTAATAGTTCGGGCACATGCAACTGATACAACAAATTGCAGTTTTAAAAAAGGACTAAACAAATTGCCGCGGATACATCAAGTGCACAACATAAATTGTACTATACCTTCCATCCAAAAATGCGATACAGAATACACAAAATTAATAGCTTCACAAAATAGAAAGGGATATTTTTAGGGGACGTTGAATATGGTTCTTGGTCTGTGGGCAACAACTTAATTTTTAAAAATGCACCCACATGAATTCTCTTGTTTACACTGCTCCTCGTCTGCATCCCAAGAGAAACCGTCAGCGCACAGGCACAGTTTCTTCGAGCCATGCTGTAAACACTGTAGGTTGGACTTGCATGACATGTCACATTGTTCGTTGTAGCCGGGCACTGAAATGGGTTGAATTTGGAGCACGTGAAAAAAATTTAGTTTTTTAATTGTAATTATGCATCTCTTTAAAATTTAGGATCTGAACTCTAACAAAATATTTCTAAAATGTATGCATCAGACGCTACGTATTAATAAACAAATTTTTAACAAATGGGCTAAGCAGGCCTATATCTGAACAGCTGATTAACGATTTGCGGGGAGTGCACAACACCCTTTTGCTGAAACCACTCCACAAAAGAGTGACAGAAATCTGAATTTAAAGGGTACAAGACATAATTTTGGACAACGTTGAATATATGGTTTTTGGGCCATAGGCAACACTAAAAAAATTACTCACAAGCGTTTTGTTTACACAATTCTGCATCTTCATCCCAATAGAATCCATCGGCACACAAGCACTGTTTTTGTGAGCCCTGCTCTAAACACTCCAGGTTTGACTGGCACTTCCGTGAACACCGCTCTTGGTACCCTGGCACTGGAACTAAATGGATTTATGTGTGAGACCGAGCCAGCGCAAAAGGCAGGATTATTTCATCAGGAATAGCAGCAGAAAAGCTGCAGAAAGTTGGAATTTTGGAAAAGATGTATTTCATCATGGCAGATATAAGGTAGCCGAAATCTTCCATGAAAAATCATCACAAACTTTAAAAAGACACTTACTGCATAGTTAAGACTTTTGTGGTTATTTTAAAACAAGTCTGCATAAAGAGCCCAACGATCCCCACTGTGGTTCCCAACCTCGAAGGCGGTTGCCAATGCATTGTATGCAAAAGGGGTAAAGAATTGAGAATCCCGATACTTTTTGTTCTAAAGATTCCGTTAAAAAGATTACTTTTCAGCTCCCTTTTCTAACGGTGAAGAGCTCTTCTGGATAGAAGAGAAAAGTGTTCAAAAGGGTTAGGTATAAACCGAGGCTTGCCTCGGTATAAACCTTTGAAAAAGGGGAGAGTTAACAATAGATCTTTTGAGAAAGATATATACAAACAATTGAGAAAGATGTTCAGATTTACCACTCTAGGAATTTATGTTTGCCACAATATACTCAATACTTATTAACCAAAGGAAAACTACTCACTCTTGTTAGAAACGCGCTTGCGGCACCTGCTTTCCTGCGTGTCAAAAAACTGTTTCCCTTTGCAACTGCAACGTCTCGAGCCCTTTACCTTGCGGCAAACCAGGTTAAAGGCGCAAAGTTCCTTCTTCCAGCAAGGAACGTCGAGTCCAGGTCCTGAATTGAAGTAAAAAGTTTCAGTCTTTCGAAAATCGGCACATTTTAGAAGCGAGACGTTAATGTTCTATAATATATGTATATTTTTAGATGCATTTGTAGACAATAATTAT